AAATAAGAAACAAAATCGAATGTTACTTGAAATAAGAAAAAACAAATTTTTTCCATTGGTAGAATCAACTCAAATAAAGTCAAATGTTCTTCATTTAAGTCATTTTAAATAACCTACATATCACTTTTTGCAGTGTGAATGAGTTTCCTTCCTCTGAACAAGCAACAAAAGTAGCACTGTAACAAAATAATTTAGTAAAACACACCAAAAAATACAGCAGCCCATGATATCAATACTGTATCATCACATTAAACGATACGATATATTGATATTTTAATCTTTTTGCACAGCCCTAGTCCTCAGGAAAGACACTTCACCCACATTGCCTAGTATGAATGTGATGAGTGTGTGTGTTTGGTGCAGATTTGCAGCTTCTCCTCAGTCTGTCCTGAGCGACACCTTAAAATACAGTTTCTCTGTCAGCCAAAGAGACTCACACTAACAGAGTCTGGGTCATTATGTGATCTCACTCAGGGCAGTGCACTCAGTCACATTCTGATGGAGATAATCTTCATCTGTCATCGTCAGTGCTTGGGTCTTTTTTATGAAGAGATCTAAAGCCAATCTTGTGTCAGAATTTGGAGGTGCAGGCAGGTGTGTGCATGTGCATGTGCATGTGTGCGTGTGAATATATGCACATGTACATATATATCAGGGAGGGGCAGCAGTCAGATCATCGTCACTGGCCTGTCTGGTTGGCGGGCGGTCACATGCGGGGCCATGGGGGGCGTGGGCGTGGCTCCGCCTCCTCCAACTTGAGTGGGGATCTGACTCAAAGCTCCAACACACTTAACTTATTTTCAATACTCAAATGAACAAGTAATTTGAGTATTGGGGGCTTATTACTAGTACATTTCAATACTCAAATGAACTAGTAATAAACCCCCCCTGTGCACACACACATACATGCACACACACACACACATGCCCACACACACACACACACGCATATGCACACATGCACATGCACACATACACACACACATATGCACATACACATGAACGCCCACACACACACACGTCCACACACATGCATATACACACACACACACACCCACACACACACATATGCACACACACACGCATATGCACACACACACACACACACACACACACACACATGCACACACACACACACACACACACACGCTCACACACACATGTATATGCACACACACGCCCACACACACACACACACACACACGCATACACACACACACACACACATAAAGTAAAAGTATAAAATAAAAAAGTATTTGGAGGTAAAAGTTAGACTAGATTATGCAAGTCTTGTTTTCAGGAAATAAATGTCAAAGTCCATATATTTATTTATTTTTAATGTTTTTAAAAAGGAGTTATTATGCTTTACCATTTAACTTTAACTTTTTAGAGCGTCCTGCCATGTTATTGGTTACTGTTCCCTCATCTGAAACATGTCTGAATCATTAGACCAGGTTTGAGTGATCTTTTTCTCTCTCACAAGCACAGACCCTCCTCTGCGATTAGTACGAGACCACGCGTCGTGTCTAAAACCAGGAAGCTCTCTGCAGCCCTCTCCCCCACCTGCAGAACATCGAACGGCGAACGGAAGAAAGAAAATGAATTCAAATTTTTAGCAAATATATCATTTCCAAAACAATCAAAGGTAACACCGCAGTGATGTAAATATATGACGTTACAGTTAATAGAAGAACAGTAATCTGCTCTCTTTAAAATAAGACAAATCAAATCCGATCCAAAGTCGTGATCATTCTACAGTACACAAGAAGAAAACATGTTCTTCCCATTTTTGTCATGTCGCCCAATCTCCCTTAATCTGCCCATTTCATTTGAATAATGACTACAGCAGACGTTCACATCTCAAACTAAACATGTGTAAATTGGATATGTGTTCATAAAATCGTGAAAAGCAAAGCCCCCGACCAAACCCATTTCCGTAAACCGTGATTGCAGCTAATATTAACCTTGTACATCTCCAGCTCAGGGGACATTGTGTATTGTACGCAGAAGCTGAGGTTCTGTCAGGGACATACTTCTATAGAATTACATTCAAACTGCAGTGAATTCAGAACCACAGCTCACAGATGTTAACATCCTTTCTCCAATCACCAAACGCACGACTGCTGACTTGAAAATAACACTGATGAATTAGAGGAGAGATTGAATTGTTAGAAAAGCTGTAGGTTAGGTTCAGGATGTACTGGAATTTGATAGAATAATTTCAAATGGAAGAATAGAATAGAACTCAAGTCAGCTATTCAATTTTTTGGAAAGAAAATCCACAAATGTTGATCCGTATTTTTAGTTTGAGGTGGGGTCTCGTTATTAGGTACATAATGAACTAAGACTTAATTAATCATGAGTCACGCTTAGTAACTACTTCATTACTACCTTAATTAGCACTTAACTTGCACTTCAGTCACCTGTGCTGTAAATAGTTACTCATAATTACTTCATACTTAATTACATGCAAGTTAAGTGCTAATTAAGGTAGTAATTAAGTAGTTAGTAAGCGTGACTCATGATTTATTAAGTCTTAGTTCATTATGAATTCAGTCTTTGTTCATGCTTTATTAAGGCTAAATAAGCCGTAGTTATTATAAAGTGTTACCGGTACATTTGGTGAGAACTATTGATTATATTTTATGGGTAACACTTTATAATAACTGCACCTTATTTAGCCTTAATAAAGCATGAACAAAGACTTAATTAATAATGATTCACACTTAGTAACTACCTGTGCTGTAAATAGTAACTCAATACTTCTTAATTACTCATGAACTAACCATTTGCATATTTACAAATGCATATTTAAGTACAAATTTGAGCATTTATTAATCATTAATAAGCTATGAGAGAATGATTTACTAATAATACATATGCAATGATCAGGATTTACGAGAAATAGCGACTGTCTTTTTATGTTATGCGTGAAAATACAGCTACGAGAAAGCCTTCTCCCGCCTTTCAGGTTTGTTTACAGCAGTGCATGTTGTTAATAGTTGTTAAGTTTATTAAGCAATTTTCAGGAGCCAGAGAATTGAATTTCGAATTAGCTAAGCGGCTTAAAATTCGTTAGACATAGGATATCTGAAACTCTCTCTTGGAAATAGTATTCATAATAAGCAGAAGTTACTGTAGTAATTAATGCTCAGTCTTAATTCTGCTTAGTATTGGAATGAATCTCTCAATTCTTTACCTCAAAAACATTAACTGCTTACTGAACAAACTTTGTGCAATGCATATGCTAAGAACATTGGTAGTAAACAAACATACAACCAGTGCACAGTCAATGAAACGTGAATTATAGCTGTCAGCACAGTAAAAGTTATCTATTAATGTTTAAGTCCAGAGTGATGAATTTTTATGGTCATTAATTACAAGGTAGCATCTATAAGCTCATTGACAATTGAATCCTCCAGGTGAATTAAGTGCAAGTTAAGTGCTAATTCAGGTAGTAATTAAGTAGTTACTATGCGTGAATCATTATTAATTAAGTCTTTATTCATGCTTTATTAAGGCTAAATAAGGTGTAGTTATTATAAAGTGTTACCTTTTAGACCAAGAGTTTGTTTTCAGACCTGACAGTTTCGACTTCTCACTGTGCTTCTCCACAGAGTCATGTGATGTTTCTGTGACATGTCGCTCATTTGGCGCTGACATTACCGGTGGAGGCAGGACGACAGCTCCACCTGCAGTCCCACTTCCCAGGTGTGTGAGAGTAAAAAAGCCCCTCATCCCGGTTTATCGTCCCATGGGCACGTTTCCGTATTTCGATTGCCTCTTTAATCCAGCGACGGTGTTTGTTTTTCTCTGTCCGGGTGATATTTGCTCCGTCCCAGTCCAGAATGTGCTTCTTTCTCACCTGGGATACTGTCCTGAGGAAGTGGGACTGCAGGTGGCGCTGTCGTCCTGCCTCCACCTGTAGAAAGACAGCGCCAAAACCTGTTTAAATCATCTGAGCGACACGTCACAGCAAAATCATGTGACTCTGAGGAAGAGCACAGGAGCTGTCACGATGAAAACAAACTCTTGGTCTGAAAAAAACCCTAATCGCATAAAATATCAGAAGACCAAATGAACCTCACTGGACTATATATAATCCTAATGACCACTTTAGGATCGTGGATAGACATTATTTTAAGTTCTCAAACATGAAATCCAAAGCAAAGTTACCAGAAAACGATTCAAGAAGATTAGAAGAAACTGTGGCTTTATCCAAAAACACACACCATTGTTGTTGTTGTCAGTAGTGGAGCTAGTCACTGATAATAAAAAGATGAGATTCAGCATTTGTGGATTGTGCTACAAAACAGTGAGACATGGGGGTCCTTACCTCTGTCTGAAATGAGAAAAGTAGTGTTAAAGTCCTGAGTGTGACAGGGAGGCTCTGCTCTTGTGTCATATACACACAATACACAGACATGGTGCATTCTGTTTGTCAATTCAAAGTGAAATTTCGATCAGGACGTGTTCACACTTGTCCTGGTTTGAGTCCAGTTTGGTCTTGGATGTGGACTTGGTTCTGTTTTATTCCTGGTTTAGTCCTTGTTCCAGATTTAATCCTAGTTTACTCCCAGTTTTGATGCTGTGTGTTGGATAGACAGAGAAAGAGTTTTACTTTTGAGGGATGAAAACAAACACATGTGCAAGATTTACCACACACAAGATCATGTGGGCTCGGTGGATTCTTGCAGATTTGTGTTATTTCTTGTAGGTACTACGCTGTAGTGACCAGTGCACAGTTCAAGTTAAACTTAAAACTTGAGTCAGTGTCCCTAGCCCCACACTCTCAGTCAGTTCTCTCTTCCTCCAGTCGGCTCATGGATTCACTCTGAGCTCAGTGTGGTCACAGAATCTACACACACTTCTGCATTATTCACTTGTTTCACCTCTGTGTGTTCTTCTTCACTAACATGTGGCCCTACTGCCTCTCTTCCTCCCTCTTCTGTCCCCCTTTCTCCCTCTGTCCCTCTCTCTCCCTCTCTCTCTCTCTCCAGGTCGGTATCTTCGTCTGAAAATGTTCCGTGAGGACCATGGCTCGTGGATGACCATGTTCTTCAGCACCATCCTCTTCCTCTTCATCTTCTCCCACATCTACAACCTGTTTCTGCTCATGGCCGGCAGCATGGAGTAAGACTTCATCTATCCATCTTTTTATTTACCTATCTCTCTCTGTCTCTATCAAGGAAATGAAATCTGTCTCTCTCTACTTCTCTGTCTGTTGTAATTTTAGCCCATAAGCCACATAAGATGAGACCATTAGTGTTTTTGAGACAAAACACCTTCACTATTTAATCTGCCCAGTACCACAACATGAAACTTGAGTCCCAGTAATGTTTCCAGAACCACGGTTTGAGAAGCACAGGTCATGTCGTCCTGTTTTCATCTGCTTCCTCCACCTCCTTCCTCCTCATTCTTGTCCTTCTCTTCCACCTCCTCCTCCCATTCCTCCTCCTCCTCCTCCTGTCCCTCCCTCTCCTCTTCCTCCTCTCTTTTCATTTATCATGTGTACTTCCCCCGCTCGTGTGATGGATCTCAGCGTCTCGCCTGAGCAGAGACTCGACAGGGCCCTAATAATCCATCAGCCCTGGTGGTAGAACACAGGTACTGCAGCCGCTGGAGCTGTCAGCACATTCATTACAGCGCGCACCTTTACTCTTCACCGTTTGTAAAGCTGCTGTATTACTCACATTTCTAGTGGAGAACACGCCTTTTGCTCGTCTCAGTGGAGATGTTCTTACTTATTTTGGAATGTTGCAAAGTGTAGCATTAAAATGATCCGTTGTGCATTTACTTAATACCAGACATTTCTGTTGCAAAAACATTCGTTGAAAACAGATTTTCTTCCTGTGATTGGGGTCACCTCTCCACAGAGCTGGCCTGGATGCATCACTTGCTTGTGTTCATGGAGACAGAGCAGCGTAATGCCAAACTGTGGACATTACCAGCAACATTAACATCTTCACTGAGACATTGATCAAGACTATTCCACTTATTTTTTCTATATTGATACTACACTTGTTCAAATGAGGATCTAGTTTCCATTTGAGAAACTTGTATTTACTGTATCTGGATATTAGTTTTATCTAGTGCTGTGAATCGATTCAAATATTTAATTGTGATTAATCTCACGAATATCATAGTTATTTTTGGCCCTTGAATAATCATTTTAATACTCTTATCAACAGAGAAATGTGGATAGGCTTTGTGCAAATGTTTTGTTTAGTTTTTAAAAAAAATTGCAACTCTGTGTGTTTTTCTGCCCCAACTCTGCTGTACTGAGGCCAATGACGTCATCACACCGCCCTAAAATATCTCTTAAATAGTGACACAGATGTGAGTCCTGCTGCACTACTCTCCTCCGTGAGTTTCTGGATATCAAAACAGGACAGAGCGGTGAGAACAGCCAGAAGAGAGACTGCAAAACCTGTGTCTGTCACCGTTCTTATTGAAGGTCAATGTGGAGTTGCCGTATGTTTTGGAGAGGATTTTATTTCATGTTTTACTTGTATAAATAACATCAGCACATCCAGTGTTGAGAGTAACAGATTACATGTAATTGGAGTTACGTAATCAGAGTACAAATTATGAGTAACTGTATTCAGTTACAGTTACTGTTTCAGTGGTAATTAGATTGCAGTTACTTGAAATAAGTGGATTACACGGCGGTATTTTCCTGTTTTTACATTCTGGGCTATATCCCCCTTTTTTTTTCATAATTCCACTCACTGCCGGACACTAAACCAGGTCTAAAACCAGGTCTAAACCAGGTCTAAAACAGGATTTAACAGGACTAAACCATGCCGGGTGGACTGTGTCTCCTCCTCTTCTATCAATAATATTTTTAATTTGGTTAAATAAAGTTTGAGCTTTTTATTTTCTTTTAGCAGACAAAACATCTTATGTGATGATTTCCTCGTCTTTGCTTCTCAACAGCAAACCAAGTAATCCAAAGTATTCAGATTACATTACTCACCTAAAGTAATTTAATGGATTATGTTACAAACTACATTTTGGTGTGTGTAATCTGTAATCTGTAGGGGAATACATTTTAAAAGTCACCTTCCCAACACTGAGCACATCTGACCTGTTTCCTGTTACAGCTGGATCCTGTACATTTTCTAACATTACAGCAGTGGCTACAGATTAAAAAAAAACAAAAAACTAGTTCACGATAAAAAAAAAATGAATGCAGTTCAAATGTATTTGCGTTAACTTGTTAATAATGCAATATTTTTGACAGCACTAGTTTTATTTTTTACAGCACTCTTCCAAATATAAACACTACACAAATAAAACAATAGCTCCTCCGTGTTCCCGCTCCGCCTGCTGCGTGAGGCGGCACTGAGCGCGAGCACACAGACTCCACCCATCAGCCCTGACAGGAATCCTTTTGAGTATCAGCAAAATGTCCATGTGAAGAGAGGAAACGTGCCCTTGAAGCTGCTTTCACGCCAACTCTCAAAGAATGTTCTGTTCTGTGTGAGAGAAAAAGCAAACCAGGGACCACGATCAATGTTAGTACAAGTTTACACGAGATAAATTACAAAGTACAGGTGTGACCTTTCCAGTGCTGGGGAGGAACAGATTACATGTACTGGAGTTATGTAATCAGAGTACAAATTATGAGTAACTGTATTCAGTTACAGTTACTGTTTCAGTGAGTGGTAATTGGATTACAGTTACTTTGTTGAAATAAATGGATTACACAGAGGGATTTAACTGTTTTCACATTTTGGGCTATACCCCCCCCCCCCATTTTTTTTTTTTTTCATCTTTTTTTCAGTAATTCCACTCATTGGCGGAAACTAAACCAGGTCTAAACTAACTAAACCAGGTCTAACCAGGTCTAAACTAGATCTAAACCAGGACTAAACCAGGTCTAAACTAGGTCTAAACCAGGTTTAAACTAGATCTAAACCAGGTCTAAACTAGATCTAAACCAGGACTAAACCAGGACTAAACTAGATCTAAACCAGGACTAAACCAGGTCTAAACCAGGTCTAAACCAGGACTAAAACAGGACTAAACCAGGACTAAACCAGGTTTAAACCAGGACTAAACCAGGTTTAAACCAGGTCTAAACCAAGTCTAAACCAGGACTAAAACAGGACTAAACCAGGACTAAACCAGGACTAAACCAGAACTAAACCAGGTCTAAACCAGGTCTAAACCAGGACTAAAACAGGACTAAAACAGGACTAAATCCTGCTGTGTGGACGTGTCTCCTTCTTTTCTATCAATAATATTTTTAATTTGGTTCAGTAAAGTCTGGGCTTTTTATTTTCTTTTATCAGACAAAACATCTTATGTGAAGATTTCCTCGTCTTTGCTTCGCTACAGCAAATCAAGTAATCCAAAGTATTCAGATTACATCACTCACCTTAAATAATTTAATGGATTACGTTACAAACTACATTTTGGGGTATGTAATCTGTAATCTGTAGGGGAATACATTTTAAACACTTCCCCAACACTGGATCTTTCTGTGTGGAGTTTGCATGTTCTTCCTGTGTCTGACTGGATTTCCCCGTCATCCTCAGAGCTCCCCCTCGCTGACGCTGACGTAGGGACGAGACACGAGGCATTTGGGAAATAAAACTGAAGATGCTGCAACAAATCAATTCATTTCATCAGATGAGTTTATAATCTGATATTATGAAACTTTTGACAGAGAGAGAGGACAGTAGTGGGGGTCTTGTTTCATGACTAATAAGCACAGAGCATACGCTGTTCTCTGCTGCTCGTGTTTGTGCGTTTGTGTGTTTCCTGGTGCCAAAACCATGAGTTGTGTAATCGCTCCATCTGTCACTGGCCACAGAGCTGACACCAGCATCCATCTTGTGTGTTTTTTTGTGAGTCGGTCCAGAAAACGTGAAAGCTGCTCGCTCCAGACCGTGAATCTCTCCTGCTCAGGGATCACTTCCATTTCTGTCTCTTAAAAGTTCCTTCAATCTTAAAAGAAAATCTCACGAGGCTTCGAGCATAATTCCATAAGACATTTCTCAAGGTTTGGGGGGAAATAGAAAAGTGTTCAAGTTAAAGTTAATGTTCACTTTCTCAGCCTCTCATCAGGGACGTCTGTTCTCTGCTTTTGACCCATCGTTCAACCTGCACCGCTGAGGCCACCTGTCAGGAACACTGAAGTACTGCAGTACTGCAGCTCCCAGACAGCCCCAGAACACAGCTACTGCCCCAGGAGAACATGCAAACTCCACACAGACACAGGGAGAACATTACACTCCACACAGACACAGGAGAACATTACACTCCACACAGACACAGAGAGAACATGTACACTCCACACAGACACAGAGAGAACATGTACACTCCACACAGACACAGAGAGAACATGTACACTCCACACAGACACAGAGAGAACATGTACACTCCACATAGACACAGGGAGAACATGTACACTCCACACAGACACAGAGAGAACATGTACACTCCACACAGACACAGAGAGAACATGTACACTCCACACAGACACACAGAGAGAACATGTACACCACACAGACACAGAGAGAACATGTACACTCCACATAGACAGAGGGAGAACATGTACACTCCACACAGACACAGAGAGAACATGTACACTCCACACAGACACAGAGAGAACATGTACACTCCACACAGACACAGAGAGAACATGTACACTCCACACAGACACAGGGAGAACATGTACACTCCATACAGACACAGAGAGAACATGTACACTCCACACAGACACAGGGAGAACATGTACACTCCACACAGACACAGGGAGAACATGTACACTCCACACAGACACAGAGAGAACATGTACACTCCACACAGACACAGAGAGAACATGTAAACTCCACACAGACACAGGGAGAACATCTACACTCCACACAGACAACAGACACAGAGAACATCTACACTCCACACAGACACAGAGAGAACATGTACACTCCATACAGACACAGGGAGAAACAGTACACTCCATACAGACACAGGAGAACATGTACACTCCACACAGACACAGAGAGAACATGTACACTCCACACAGACACAGAGAGAACATGTACACTCCACACAGACACAGAGAGAACATGTACACTCCACACAGACAGGAGAACATCTACACTCCACACAGACACAGGGAG